CTACGCGTTCCATGCAAAACGACGCCTTGCCGACTGCGTCGACAGTGGTATCCGGAGCTGGGTTGATCTGGGCGCGCTTCGCTTTTACGCTTTTGCTTGCCTTGGTTTGTTTGCATTGAGCATTGTTGTCATTGACATTTGGGAAGAGCAGCGCTTGGCCCCATTTGGTTGGTGGGAACTTGAATTCATTGCTTCATACAGGTTGTCTGGTTGAGTTTGGTGTGGGCAATTTACAGTGAAGCTGGTTGCTTACAGAGGCTGAACCGGAATCCGTTTTTGTTTACAGTTTCAGTTCCTTGGCTTTGTTGGCGTGACCTCGAACATCAAGGATGGCTGAAGCAGAGGAGAAAGGCAGTTCGGCATGGTATAAGGTGCCGACCTGGGACGGGAACCCCGCTGGATTCAGAGCTTTCAAACGAGAGATGGAATGGTGGCAAGCTTCAATGGACCCTAGCACATGTCTCAAATACAATGTTGCAGCACGTTGGACATTGCGACAGACAGGTGTTGTCAGGGCCAGCTGTGAAGAGTTCACCCCAGCGGAATTGGCTGGAACTCCTGAAGTGCGTGGGGAAGATCCCGATACAAAAGAGGAAATTGTTTTGGAACCTGCAGACCCTTGGGCAGGCATTCGAAAGCTGATGACGGCTTTGGAGGAGTCCATGGGGCGCACGATGCTGGACCGGAAGGGAGAACTTCGAAAGCAGTTTTACACTGATTTGAGGCGGCTTCCGGGGGAAAGGATAAGTGCTTTCTGTTCAAGGTTTCGAACATTGACCTCAGAGATGAAGCGAGAGGGCATTACATTGCATTCAGACGAGCTGGGCTGGTTTTTGCGGAATCGAATGGGTTTGGACGCCATTCGAATTCAGCTGTTAGACACAGCCTTGAGAGGCCGAGAGGCCTATGAGGAGGTAGAACAAGAGGCTCTCCGGCTCTTTCGCGACCTTCACAGTGAGGACCCGTTGCATAAGAAGACTGCATTGGATCGTTCACCTTTGTTGGGCCGTTTTTTGAGCCAGTCGTCACAGTCAGGGGCCTCTACACACCAGACTTCGCTGCCATCTCAGGCAGGCTCTACATTTGGTGGCAACAAGTCGTACAGATCCTCATTTTCCAGTGGGTCTCAACGAAGTTTCAAACCTGCTCCCAAGGTTCCTCAGAGATCAGCGTTGGTTGCAGAAGGTCCCAATGAGGACGAGGAGGCCGAGGACGACGAGGAGGAGCTTGTGCCAGATCAAGATGAACCTGGCAAAAGCTTGGAAGAAGTGTTGCAATCCGAGGCTGAAGTCCTAGCTGCCGAATTGGAAGAGCTTGAACAAGAAGGAGTGTCCCCCGATGTGATCGAGGGATTGGAGTCTGGAGTTGAGCAAGCAGCAGAGTCTCTCGTGACTATGCGGGAGGCGAGGAGCAAGATCGCAGAGATCAAGAAGGACAGAGGTTATGGCAGAGCTTCTGGATCGGCGTCGGCTGTTGCTAGTGCCAAGTCCCGCATGACGGGAAACCAGGTGAATGGAAAGAAATCCAAATCCAGTTGCTGGGATTGTGGCCAGACCGGTCATTGGGCAGGAGATCACGGATGTCCTAACCCCGGAGCTGGGTTATATAAGCCAAAGGGAGGAGCGAAGCCACAGAAGCATGTTCGTGTGACAGAAGCTCTATCCACAGAAGTTGACAACGCAGTTGATTTTACAGAAGAGTCACATGAGGTGTTGACAGCGGTTCGCATCTTTCGGCCATCTACATTGTCAGAGGCATTGTCGCATTCATTTGAGGTGTGTGCAAACCAAGTTCAGTCGCTTGCATTGGACAAAAAGTTGATGGGGGCATTGGACAGTGCGTGCAACCGGACATGTTGTGGGACTGTGTGGTTGGATCACTATCTTCGTGCATTGCAAGCAGCGCCTCAGGCCATCAGGAAGCTGGTGGCAGAACAGACCGAAGAGGAGACTTTCAGGTTTGGAGACGGTGGGACTCAGAAGAGCGGGATTCGATATCGCTTGCCGATGATGGTTGGTGAAGACCTCGTTCTTACTTGGGTTTCAGTGGTTCCCGTTGCAAGCCTGGGTTTGTTGTTGGGGCGTGACTGGCTGGACAGCATTGGTTGTGTTCTTTGAGCTTTGCAAAGAAGGTCATGCGTGCAGATCACCTCAGTGGGAAGCACATTGGTTTGCATCAGCTGGTTGCAGGACACTTTGCATTGCGGCTCATCCCAAAGACGTGGCCGGAACCAGGTCCGGGCCGTTGGAGAAGAGTGGGTCAAGACGGAGTTGTTGCTTTGCAGATTTCGCATCAAGAGTGGATGAGTCGGAAACTTCATGCATTACAGTCTTTGTTTTCGAAAACAGTTGCAAACAGTCATGAGCATTTGTTGACAGAGCAAAGCTTGCATGTTGCGGATGTTTCATTGCTTGGCCTTCCAGTTGATAGCCTTTCGACACCCCACGAATTGGCTCAAAAGATGATCAAGCTTCAAGCTCAGAAGCAATCGACTCCATCATCTTCGACATCACTCGGTCGAGCCTCTGCTCCCGAGATCCATCATGGAGGACGGCAAGGCCACGGGAACGTGGCGAAGAATGGTCGTGCGGCTAAGAGTAAGACTCCTCTGGCACGTGCAAGGCATTGCCTTGTGGCTTTGTCGGCGGCCCTGGCTGCGATACTTGCCACTACCCTACCCGTCCATCAGTCTCGGACGGCAGTGGCAATTGCAAGCGCAGCAAATGGTGACGAATGGAGCACTCCCTCAAAAGCATTTCCAAAAGGCTCTTCATGCCGAGGCCTTCACTGCCAGCAACTTGAAGGATTGCATGTGGCTGAGGGACAGGCTCGGTTGGAAGCTGGCGTTCACCGAAGATCCCATGCTTTTGGGCATGCTTGCAGCCAAGAGCTCAAAGGGGATGGCCAGCCGCATCCGCCAAGAAGCAATTGCGGAATCCAAGATTGCCGCCAAGAAGGCCGTGGAGGCAGGCAAACAGCTGGAGGCAGTCCGTTCATTGATCGGACCAAAAGGAGGGCTACCGGCTCTGAAGGCCGATTTATTGAAGTTGGCAGCCTTGGTGGAAGTGCAGGTGCACGACAAGATCACGGTCGAAGAATTGAAGCAGAAGATCAAACCCGTGGTTCAGGACATCGTGGCAAAAGCACCTATGCCAGCAAAGTCCAGCGGTGGGGCCAGTTCTCACCAAGAACCACCGTTGCATTTGACCGCCAAATCCAAAGCCAGTGCACCAGTCACCCCATCCGTGGCACCAGGCACTCCATCGACCAGCGTTGGGACCACCACCCAACCACCAGGCCTCAAGATCCAGGACATCCACGACCTGATGGCGCAGCAGGACAAGAAGTACCAAGCGATGTTGCACCAAGTGATGCAGCATATGATGTCCTTGCAACAAGGCACGCAGGCCAATCCGATGAGCCCGGCCTTCATGACGGAGGGCCCAATGAGTTACGACCTCACAGCCTCCGACAGCGACACGGCCATGGGACAGGTGGGGGAACATGGTTGGACGATGGAGGAGGTTCAAAGAGCAAAAGCCTTCGAGGTAGGGGACTTCGACCAGATGACCGAGCAGGAGAAAATCGACTTCAATCTCCAACAAGTCGGTTGGATCCAGCAGGACGAACAGGACCTGCTGAAGGGGCCGTTCCTGAACCCGTGATGGGCTCAAAGAGCAATCCTTGGACAATACACCAAGAGCTCAAAAAGGGACAAGCCCAGATGATTGGTCAGGCATGGGAGCGCCATTGCAGAGAGCGCCAAGCCGTGTCAAAGTCAAAGAATGAAGTCCTCGAGATGATGCACCAAGATTGGCGTCACCAATTCGCAAATGCCTGAATGAGAACTTCGTGATGAACATTGACTTCAGGCCAGAGCGGCGGAAGAAGCCGCCTGACAAACCCTTCAACACCCAGCCAATTGTTGGAGAGGTATACACAGCCACGGAACAAGTGGCAAAGCAGGCCAGACTTCGAGGGCACCGGGCGATGGCATCCCTTTCCTTAGAGACGGGGTGGAACTTCTTGCAGCCGGAGGATCGGAAGGCATGCATTCGGAAGGTGCTGGAGGAGGACCCTTATTGCCTCATTCTTGCTTTTCCTTGCAGCCCGTGGTCACCTCTGACCCGACTTCGCAAAAGCAAAACATTAGAGGAACGGCAACGTCAAGGCCGTACCCTCTTGAACTTTGCCATTGTCTTAGCTCAGATGCAGTTGAAAAGAGGGGCTCACTTCATCATCGAGAATCCCAAATGCTCGATGGCGTGGAGGATTCCAGAGATGGGAAAATTCCTCGAGTCAGCAGCCGTGGAACAGGTCGACTTTGACCAATGTCGCTTTGGTTTGAGGAGCGCCAAAGGATTCCTGCACAAGAAGCCAACGCGAGTGGCCACGAGTTCAACATGTGTGGCCGATGAACTACGTGGGATGGTATGCACCAAAGACCATCCACATCAGCCAGTGCTCGGTGGAAGCGCCGTCACCGCACCAGCTGGACACTACCCAGTTCAGCTGGCCAGAACCATGGTCAAAGGATTGGAGAAACAGTTCCACGCCGAATACGGCAAATGTAAAGAAGTGATGGCCGTAGATGGAGAAGAAGTCGAGGCCGATGATGAAGGAGCGGCTGAGACTATGAATCCATTTGATTCGGAGTCCGACATTTCATCCCTGGGCGAGGAGGAAGACCCGTCCACAAGGATCTCGGCAGCGACAAGACTTGCTGTGAAGAGGCTCCATGAAAACACGGGCCATCGTTCCTATCGCCGGCTGGCGAGAGCATTGGTGCTGTCAGGAGCACCAAAGGAGGTGGTTCAGGCAGCCAAGCAATTGAAGTGCAGTTTGTGCGAAGAAAAGAAAAGGCCGAAGAGCCGTCGTCCAAGCACGCTGCCAAGTCCAAAGGATGTGTCAGACCAGGTCCACATCGATGTTTTTGAGTCCGCAGATATCACTGAGAACAAGTTCTACATCATCCATTGCATCGACTGGGTGTCCCGCTTCCAAATGGCGGAGGCAATGCCCGGAAAGGACTCAGAGAGCATCTGCGCTTGGTTCAAGCAGCGTTGGATGCCCATCTTCGGGCCTCCAAGGGTCATCGTAGCTGACCAAGGCCGAGAGTTCATCTCCTGGAGATTTCAGCAGATGTGCGATGAGCACAGCATTTTGTTGTACCACATCCCGGTCCAAGCACCATGGGCCAACGGGGGCCAACGGGATATGTGAGAGAGGGGGCGGAATCCTCAAAGGCCTCCTTGAATGTTGTGTGAAGAGTCACTCGGTCGTCGGCCTGGAGGAGATGAACACCGCACTACAAGAGTGCGTCCTCGCTTACAATGGCGATATCACAGAGGCCGGAGTATCCCCAAGCCAAGCTGCAATCGGCCGTCAGCCAAGGGCCATTGGAGATGTTTTGGGAAGCTTTGGTCAAAGACTGGCCGAACATGGGCTAGTTGATTCCAACCCAGGACTGGCGAGACAAGTCGCCATGAGAGAAACAGCCAAGCTGGCGATGGTGAGATTACATTTCTCACGGGGCATCAGACGTGCCGAGCTCAGTCGTTCCAGAAGCAGCACCATGTCCCAGCCTTTGCAACCAGGAGACATTGTGTATTTTTGGAGAGAGTCAAAGTACAATTCCCGGACGGCTCCTTCCAAGAAAAGACTGTCCCTGCGTCGGTGGCACGGGCCCGCGCTTTTGGTAGCGCTTGAGGGCCATACAGCTGAGTATGTTTCGTTCAAGGGCCAACTCAGCAAATGCAGCAGAGAACATCTGCGCCTGGCTTCAAGCATGGAGCAAATCAGTGCTGAGGTTTGGCATGACGCCATTCAAGAATGTGTTGAGGCAGCCCTTAATGACCAAAGAGCTGACCCGACCTCACCGCCTACTCAGGCACCCCCAACACCTGGACGTCAGCAGTTGCCAACAGTTCCAGAACAAGATCCTGCCTTGCCACCAGTGGGCCCTATGGAGTTCATTTCTGCAGTTTCTGGCGAACCAGAGTTGCCAGGGAGTGGGTCATTGAGCCGACGGGCATCAGCCATGTCGTCATTGGGACGGTCGTCTGTGGCATCAGGCAGTGCTGCACCAGGCACTCCAGTGCCTGCACTCATCCGACAGGCCAGTCAGGCAGCACCGGCACCTCAGACACCACCTTTGAGCTCGCGCTTAGAGTCGTCGATAGAGGATGTCAGGGAGTTGGAGGAGGAAGCGGCATCAAAGAAGAGAACAGCCGAGCTGGACACAGAGGAGTTGCGAGATGCAGCCGCAGCCCCAAGTGAAGAGGCTCATTCAGTTATGATGACAACTGCAGTCGTCCAGAATGTCTTGAAAACAAAGAATGCCCTACTTGCAAAGTATGCCAAGAATCCTGAGAATGCACAGGTTCCATCGAATGTCACCGCCTTCAAGGAAGACACTTTTGAAGAAGATTTCATGAAAGCTGCTATCCATCCACTCCGCTTCATCAAGGAGCAAGTTGAAAGGGATCGAGACGATCCGAACTTCACGGAAGTGGTCGACCACGGCAGTTGGTCTGGAAAGTGGCCTCTCCCTTCAAGAACAAGCTGGCTTGCTCATGAGACCAGTTGCACTTTGCGGCCCACCGGAGAGCAGGAAGTCAACGAAGCCAAGACGGCTCGCCGAGAGATCAAGTGGAAGACTATACCCCTGCGTGAGAGAGAGGAATACCGCAAGGCAGCTGAGGCAGGTTGGAAAGTGCAGACTGACAATTTCGCCTTCGAGCCCCTGACAGAGGAAGAATCCAAAAGGGTCAAAGATCGGCTGAGGGCCAATGGCCAGTTGAACAAAATCCTGCACCCTAGGTTCATCTACACCGACAAGAATGACGGCAAAAGGTCAGCCTCCTCGCCAATGCCACTTTTGGCGAATGCCCGTCTTGTCATTCCGGGGTACCAGGATGAGACGGCCTACAATGTCAGGAAAGATGCACCAACCAGTGCAAGAAGCAGTCAACACATATTGTTCACCATGGCTGCTAGCTATGAATGGACATTGTGGTCTGCAGACATCAAGTCAGCATTTCTCAAAGGTGATTTATTTGAAGATGGTGAACGTGAATTGTACATCACCAACATCCGAGTCCAGTCGGAAGACGAGCCCACGCTCCCCTTTGGCAGAGACAGCCTGGCGAAGGTTCGCAAGGGAGTTTTCGGCCTGGCAGACAGTCCTCGTAGATGGTATCTCAGGCTCCATCGTTCAGTCACACAGCTGGGATGGAGGAGGAGCCAGATGGATGCAGCACAATGGTTTTTGTATGATGACAAGAATCAGTTGCAAGGTGTCCTGGTTAGCCACGTGGACGATTTGCTCATGGCGGGGTCCAGCTATGCCAAACGGACATTGGACAAGTTGGGTTCAGAGCTCGGTTTCGGGTCATTGGAAACCGGTTGTTTCAACTATTGTGGCAAACAAATCAAACAGTTGCCGGACAAGACAGTTGAAGTCAGCATGCAAGCATATCATGAGAACTTGCAGCCAGTGCCGGTGCCTGTAGTGCGCAAGAAGCAATTGGAAAGCCCATTGACACCCACCGAACACCGCCAACTCCGAGCAGTACTCGGAAGCTTGCAGTGGTTGGTCACACAAGTGAGGTTCGACATGAACTTCATGTTGTCAGTGCTCCAGGGGGAGCCCCCTGTAGTAAAGACCCTGCTCAAAGCGAACGCCTTGGTTCGCCTCATGAAGAAGGATTCCGGATTCAAACTCCGTTTCCCTAAGCTGGATTTGAACGGAGCTGGAATTGTTGTCGTTACAGACGCTTCTCTGGGGAATGTTTCCAGGAGCGGTGGAGCAGAGGGCACTATGATGACCAAGACATTCAGTCAAGCTGCATATTTGGTGATGATTGGTGATCGTGATCTCCTCGCAGGACGAGAAGGACAGTTCACTGTGATGGACGCCCGGAGTCACAGGCTCACGAGGGTGTGCCGAAGCACATACGGAGCTGAGCTCCTCGGCTCAGAAGAAGCCCTAGATGTCGGCCTGTTAAGCAGAGGCCTGCTAGCAGAAGCAATGGGTTTCGATGTCCTCGATAGAAGCGAGTCCTACAACAAGGACATCCCACTGGCAATGATCACGGACGCGAAAGACGTCTTCGACAAGAGCACCAGTGACACACCGACCTATGGGTCGCAGAAGTCATTGAGCTTCACAGTTGGATGGCTCCGAGAGGCCTTGCGAAAAGAGAGGACCAGTGTGCAGTGGACGGCAACCGAGAACATGATCATCGATTGCGGCACAAAAGAGATGGCGACCGACCATTTGAGAGCTGTTTTGAGTAGGGGCACTTGGTGTTTCACTTACAACCCTAGCTTTGTAAAGCAATCTTCAAAGAAGAAGCATAGTGGCCAGTTGAGTCAGGTTTCAAACTTGCCCGGACGCCTTTTGGGCATGAACGACCCAGTTGTGAGCCACCTCATCAAGCTGTCCGAACAGCCTGGTTGGCATCTCAAAGACCAGGGATCGACCGCGATCCATGTGTGCAGAAATGCACGATCGTACAGAGTCGCTTCTCCACGATTCAACCCCGCTGAATTCAACCGCAGAACCACCTACGGGCGTTTTGATACTAGTGACCAGAGCGAGTGGAGAATCTTGGAAGAGCGCAACCCAGATGCAAAGCCAACGTTGATTGGCGACCATGCAGCGGTCCTAGTTTCCTTCTTTCTTAAGGGCACCCCTCTGAAACAACATAAAGAAGAGTCAGCTGAAGATGTGCACTTGTTTCAGGGTTCATGATTGAGGGTCATGATGGACCGCCGCCTTTTTACTCTCATGTACAGGCCTAAGCCATACCGCTACGCGTTCCATGCAAAACGACGCCTTGCCGACTGCGTCGACAAACAATAAGCTAATAGCTTCTTGTTCCTACTAGTAACAAGTGCCAC